GAGGAAGGGGGAGGGGGAGGGAGGGAGGACAGGAGGCTGCAGCTCAGATGCCAGAGGTGGAGGAATGGCTCAGGTAAGGGAGAGACAGCTGCCCGCATCAGGGCCTCGGGTACAAAGGTGGGAGACGTATGGGATGGCTGTGGAAATTACCTCGAAAGGCAGGCTGAGAAGCCAGGCTGAGTTAGAAGACTCTACTCTGACCCGAGAGGCTCCTACCGGCCCAGGGAAATAAAGGCCCCAGCCTGTGAAGATGTCCCCCAAGCAGGCTAGGGGCCAGGGAAGGGAACAAGAGCGGGAAGGGCTATAGGCTCAGACTGCCCAGCAAGCGGGATCAGAGCGAGGATGCTGAGCCTAGGTGTGAAGTCAGTTTCTTAGGATGAGGTACAAGGCCTCACCACCTTCTACTTCCAAACCTGCTGTCAGAGAGACTTGACTTCCTGTCCTGGGAATCTGTTCCCTGGAAGAAGAAGGGGCAGCAGGAGACCAAGAATATGGAGAAAGGACTGCAGCGGTATTGCCCTAGCAGTGGGTGCCCATGCAGGACAGGTCTCTGGACAAGTCACAAACTCTCTGTATGTTGAGGTGTTTGGACAAGGTGTTGTGCCGGGACTGCATGATGTGTGGGGTGGCAGTGTCTCTGGAGGGGCTCCCCAACTTCTGACAGGCCAACTGGCACACTCAGGAGTGCCAGGATCCTTTCAAGTAGAAGTCATGACCACTGTTGATTACCCTCTGACACTTTTGGCTTTGGACCAGAAGAGTTCCACAGGATCCCTCAACTCAGGCAAGGTAAAGTGAGGGAGGGGAGGGATGGGAAAATGGAGGGGGTTACTGGGAAATCAGTGAGGTTAAAAAGTTGTGACATGCTCCCATCCCCCTGACCCTGGCAGATGTCCCCAGACTCCCAGGACCCTCAAGCACTAGCAGCTCAGTGAAGACATGGGCTTCTCTCTGCTGACTTGTGGGGGATGGGGCAGTGGGGAATTTCTACTGGAATTTCCATGGCTTCCCCTTTGGGATGACCAACCCTTCTCCAAGTGCCCACACCTTTACAGCTCTGTTGCCCTTGTTGCCTGGATCCCGGACTGGGTCTGCCCACCCCCCCATCTCCCATAATCAGGAAAGGGGTGATGATGAACAGGTGACTGGCATGCCTCATCTCCTGGGTGAGCAGAGAGGGTGGCAGGAGAGGCGGTCTCTGCCCTGGGCTCTGGAGGCACAAGTAGGTAGAGTTGGATGGTGGGCTCTTTGAAGAGCTGATATCTTCCTTCCTGTAGGAAGTTTTTACAGGCTGATTTAAGAGGTCCAGACCTGTCCTGCCTGGCTCCAGCACCAGTTAGTCAGATCCCCATCTCTCACCTACTGCTGTCACAGAGCCACTTTTTTTTTTTTTTTAAGATGACTGGTAAGGGGAATCTTTACATATTATTTAGTAACTTGTCTGTCCTTGAGCCAGCAGCCTTGCCATGCTATAATTCTTTATCTTACAACAGAGACTATATAGCCTGGGGAAAATTTCCTGTCTTGCAAGGTCAACATTTTATATGTACTTTTAAGAAGTTAGGCTAAACCTGAAACTACAAGAAACTAGGCCCTGTGGAATATATTTGCTTTATAGTATACTTCACAGCAAAGAACAGCAAATAAATGATGTGGGAATTAGGAGGATAAGGAGTAAAGAAAAAAAATTTTTTTTTTTTTAAAAGATGACCGGTAAGGGGATCTCAACCCTTGACTTGGTGTTGTCAGCACCACGCTCAGCCAGTGAGCCAACCGGCCATCCCTATATGGGATCCGAACCCGGGGCCTTGGTGTTATCAGCACCACACTCTCCCGAGTGAGCCACGGGCCAGCCCTACAGAGCCACTTCTGATTGTACATTTAGCCCCTGCCTGCCTTGCTCTCAGGGCATGCACGAGTAGGGGTGTGTGTATGGGGTCTCTTCAGCCTTTCCTCCCTCCATATATCCATTCCAAACAGGGCATATTATTAAGGCTTCTTGAATTACTTTGCGCTATAATCAGGAAATTGAAATTCTGCCTGGCTATGACCCTGAAGTCTCTGGTACAGAAGCAATGTCTCCTCCAGTGGAAAAAAGAACACCAGTTAAGGAGGAGGCGCCCGCGGACAGGCCTTGCTGACACATATCTCCTGCATCCCTGTGTAACCCATTTCACCTGCTTCTTAGGAGTGGCATGTGGCAAGGGGTACATGCTCTAGCTGACTTGGGGGTGAAAGGGGGACACTGGAAACCCCTCTCTCCCTGGCTTACCAGGATGACCGGTTCCGGAGCCCCGAGCCCTTACCTCTTAGTGTCGGAGATACACCACCAGGCCCATGCCCAGCCGCCAAACACGTACTGTTTATAGTCGGAACCACAACAGCCCCCTGGGGAGCAAAGCAAACCACTGCTGGTCAGTCAGTTATTGGGTTTGTCCACCCCCATACTTCTGACTCAACTTTGGCCCTTCACCTGCACTGTGACTTGACAACTCCTACTGCCAGGTGCTGAGGTTACATATAAAAGGGAGACACGTTCTCCCTGCCCTTAAGGGACTTAGAATCTAGTCTGGAGGACAGGCAATTTGCATAAAAAGCAGGATATCAATGAAGAGTTCAGAACATAAGTGCTTCCAGAGAACAGAACAGATCAGTGGGCAGGGTTGGTCTGGAAAAGCTTCCATTTTTCATTCAACCATTCATTCATTCAACAAACTGACAGAGTATTTTTCTGTGCTAGAGATAGAGACAAATATACAATCCCTATGTTGAAGGAGGTGAGACTAGGAGGAGAAACTCTTTCCTGAGAATGTTATAATACCATGTGGTGTACCTGTTATCACGATGGGTGCAGGTAGAGAATGAATGCATAGTGGGGACAGCACTGGGGACCTGGTGGGGAGGCGAGTGGGGTGTTCAAGCCAAGACATATCACTGAGATGTGTCTGCCAGGCAGAATGAGGCTGCTTCTCTACTCCTGGAGCATTCAGAGTGACTTCGTTCCTCTTGTGGGAGCGTGTGGGGAAGGCAAGGCCTCAAAAAACTAAAGGCCAACTCGTGGTACTAATGGGAGAAGTGAAGAGAAAGGGAAAAGGCCTAAAAAGGAAGTGGTTCTTGGCAACTATGTATCAACTAAACAGAATATCCAACTTGGCCATGACCGAGATCTATGTTGTGGACATGTTCGGCATGTTCTGTATACAGAAACGAGAAAAATCAATTCCTGAAATTCTTGTGAACTCTTCTGTTAATGCCAAAATTAGTCATTCAAGTTCAAGGAAACTAGTGAAAACTAGAGAGGCAGTTAACTTGCTGTACAAAGAAATGGATAGGAAACTGATTCAAAAGAAATGTGATTTGGGAAAAAGCCAGAGGTGTTATCATTTCCATGTTCACAAACTTGGGTTTTCATGAAAGCCTCAGAGTGTTTGCCTCCCAAGGTCAAAGGTCTTGTGTAGTTTCACATAGCTGGGTTACAATACCTTTGAGGACCCAAGGCAGAGAACGGGATAAGTGGAGGGGCAGAGGGCAGATCACTGAGTGTCTTCTGAGCAGGCCAGGGAGATGTGTGAGTGTGTATGAGTGACGGAGAGCCACGTAGGGACTTAAGTTGCAGAGTGACAAGGTTATACTTGCATTTCAGAAACAAACACCACTTTGCACCAGGAAGAAGATACTGGGGTCAGGGAGACTAGGTGGAAGCCTCTTGTTCTAACCCAGGCAAGGCATGGTGACTAATATGAAGGGATAATTTCTAGAGCAGTGTTGTCCAAGAGAACTTTCTGCAAGGGTGGAAATGTTTTATGTGGTTACATGTGGCTACTGAGCACTTCAAATGAGGCTGGTATGACTGAAGAACTGAATTTTTAATTTAACTAACTTAAATTTAAATAGCCACATATGGCTAGTGGCTACCACACTGTACAGTGCAGCTCTAGAGTCTGGGTTTGGGTGGGTGATGAGGCCAACAACTGAAACAGAGATGAGAGAACGGCAATCTGCGGACAAGTTTTGGATGCATGGAGGCAATGGAACAAAGAACCTCCCACCCCATCCCCTGTGGGGAGGGCTTGTAAGCTTGGAGAGTCGGCATCTGAGACTGCTCACTGGGCAGCCTACCCAGTTTCCTGGGCCTGCCACAGTGCATACAGCAGTAGTGGCCAAGCCAGAGGGCCAGGGATCAAACAGCAGCCCCACAGTGTGGACAGGAGCAGTAAGAGGAGGTCTTAGGTCTCTGTTTCTCTAGAGTGGAAATACTTGTCCACAGGGCTGCTGTTCAAGGTTAGCCATTACAGGCTTCTTTGCCCTGGGAAGTGGGGTAGGTGAGGCCTCTGAGGACAAGCAGTCAGCCTGAAATTCGAACTATCTTAGGATCAAGTGAAACTGGAAGAAGGCCAAAAATCACAGCTTGTTTCAAATCTTCCAGCCTGGGTCGGGGTGGGGAGCTGGGGCATAGCTACCTCCCCCTGCCAGCTCCAGAGGACTTCTGTGTGTTGTGGGAGGAGGTGGCAGTGGTGGGGTGGGATCGGGAGAACACAGTGAGTGCCCACCCATTACCTTTTTTTTTTTTTTTTTTTATTTTTTAGGTTTAAAAAGTGTTTAAAGGGCCGGCCCGTGGTTCACTCGGGAGAGTGTGGTGCTGATAATACCAAGGCCCCGGGTTCGGATCCCATATAGGGATGGCTGGTTTGCTCACTGGATGAGCATGGTGCTGACAACACCAAGTCAAGGGTTAAGATCCCCTTATTGGTCATCTTTAAAAAAAAAAAGGTGTTTAAAGTTTGTAATTCCTAGAAGAAAAACATTATCTGAATGAATACCCTAATGGCAAACCACTGTAAAATGCTTCAGCCACATTTGCGGCAAAGGGGTAGGGATTATCTTCAAAGCACCCCAGCTCTCTTGATGAGAAAGTCAGGGGTACACTTGTTTGTATTACTGCGACATCCATTAGGTGATCTAGGTTGCTTTTTCTTCAGCAAAGGCTTTATTTGTCAGAAGGGCATTATGCTTGACCTCCAAATTTGGCTGACAATTTACTGATGAGATTCATGGGGGTTTGGATTCATTTTGGGTTGTTCTGATATATATATATTTTTTCCTTTTGGTCTTTTTTCATGACCAGTAACGGGATCGCAACCCTCAGTGTCGCGCCTGTACCGCGACCGGCAACGGGATCGCAACCCTCGGTGTCACGCCTGCACCACGCTCAACCAGTGAGCGGACCGGTCTCTATATGGGATCCGAACCCTCGACGGGAGCGCCGCTGCGCTCCCAAGCGCCGCACTCTACCGAGTGCGCCACCAGGCCGGCCCTGGTTGCTCTGATATTTTGACATATTTGCTGGGTTCTGGGCCACATCCTGGAAGGCCATCATAACTTCTGGATCCTGCATGGCTGCAAGAACCTCTGGATCACTAAAAATTTCATTGAGCCCAGGCATTTTTGCCATTCCAGGCATTCCCCCAGGAAAGCCACCTGGAAAAGAGCTGTACTGAGCTCCTGATTGTCGTCTGGCTTCTTTCTCCCTCTGGGCTCTCTCTCTCGCTCTTCTCAAGCCTTCTTAACCCTTTCTATACTTTCTTTGATCTCTCTCTCTTCACATTTTTGCTCATACTTTCTCCAATGTTCTGCAATTTTCTGGGCCCTTGGTTGAACTTTTTTCAGCATTGCTCTATCATCTTCATCATAATCCAGTTTACAGGCAAGGGCAAGATCATGGGCTGCTTCTTCCCAATGGCCCAGAAGTCTGTGTGCTTTCTCTCGTCACTTGTAAGACTGAGCTGAGTCAGGATTTATTTCAATGGCTGTCACAGTCGCTGATGGCAGCATTTGGCTTCTGTAATTTGATGAAGACACTGGCTCTCTTGGCATACAGAATGGCCAAGCGAGGATTCAACATGATAGCATCTGTGAATAAATCAATGGCTTTCTGTAGTTCACCATCACTTAGGGCTTCAATGGCAGCCACTTTCTTATCATTCGCCTGATCCATCATCTCCTCTGTTTTTTTTTTGTCTGTTTTTGTGACTGGTAAGGGGATCGCAACCCTTGGCTTGGTGTCATCCGCACCACACTCAGCCATCGAGCGCACCGGCCATCCCTATATAGGATCCGAACCCATGGCGGGAGCGCCACTGCGCTCCCAGCGCCGCACTCTCCTGAGTGCGCCACAGGGTCGGCCCTCCTCTGTTATCTCTACATTTTCATCTCCCATTTCTTGAGGGGCATCAGTGTTTAGTTCAATCACACCTTCACTGTCAATTTCTAGATCACTTTCCTCACTTGATAGTTCATCTGTCTTTATGTCTTCCTCCAACTTCTTACTATCTGTTTTTTCTTCCTTGATATTTTCTTCTGATTTAGCTTTATCAGTAGCAGGCGGTACTTTACCCCCCATGCTCTCCACCTACTCCCTCAGGAAGCGCATTTCCTCGGTGTGCAGAATGCTCGGATCCTGCTTACACAAGTTCATGAAACCTGAAGCTTGCTCACTTTTCGAAGCTCACTCACTCTTCGGGGATCCGTGGTTGGGAGGCAGCGGGAGGTGGAAGGCACGGCTAAGGAGGCTGCGGCCTGATTCCAGGCCTGGGCGCTGGCTCAGTGTGAGCTCGTAGAAAGGGGCGGCTCCCCACCCGTTACCTTTAACTTATTCTTTGACACTGGGAGCAGACTGTCACAGCTCAAGCTGGGCCCTGGCCAAGAGCGGCATGGCCAGGTTCCCAGGGTAGCAACAACAGGAAGCTGGGACGGCCCCACCCCCAGCAGCCTCCTTCCCTGCTTCCTAGTCACTCAGCCTGATCACTACTCTCAAGAGGACAGTTAGGTGCCTCTTCATTGACTTCCCTAGCTCTCACTGGTCTTGGAACCTAGAAGTTTCTCCTAGTTTTATCTCACTTTTCCTAACCCAACTTGCTTTCCCTTGCTTTGTCTTCAGTTAACCATAAAATACCCAATAACCTCCGCTCCACCCTCAGCCCCTCCCCAAACACAGCCCACAACTCTGCCCTGTCAGGAGCACTCCCGTCCTGCCCCTCCTCTACCTTCTTCCTACTAGTCAAGACCATACCCTACAAGGGGGTTTTAGCCTTTTCTGAGCCACAAACCCCTTTAGTAGTCTGGCAATCCTAAGGACCCCTTCTTAGAATGTTTACAAATGCATGAAATAATATACTTAAGAAACAAATTATATTGAAAGTTATCAAAATGTTATAACAACCAAATGTGTGATATAGTAATATGTGCCACTTTATGAATCCTTTTTTTCTGGCAGCTGGCCGGTACAGCTATCAAACCTGGACCTTGGTGTTATTAGCATCACATTCTAACCAACTGAGCTAACTGGCCAGCCCCATCAAATAATAAGATCTAGCAGTAGATCTAATTACTAGCTTTATTTCAAAGTAGTGATGAGAAATATCTGCTAATACTAACATGGATTGTTACCAACATTCATAATCATAGGAAATACTAAATTTCAGTTAAGTCTAGAGAAAATAAAAATGTATTCCCCATCCAAATAAAAGAATTCCCTTTTTAAAACTTTGAAATTAGAAACAGAGAAAAGGTTTACGTTACAGAATGAAGAAGGGAGGATGGACAATAAAAAAAGATGAATGGGATGACCATGAGATGCATCAGCATCCTCTTTCTGAAACTGGGCTGAGATGCCTCTGGACTTGGACGTGGGCCCAAGGAGCAAGGGAGACAGACAGGGGCAGGGCCGGGAGTCAGGTGTCCATGTGTAAGAGGGAGCCACATCTCAGGTGGGCCATCTCAAATCCCAAGGTACTATTATGCAAGCCATTATTCTCTCCTGCCCTTCCTTAACTCCGGCACCCTCACTACTCAGCATAGCCTCCTCTCCTCACCCCTAAAACAGGTTCCAAGCTAGCACTGCCTTGGTCTCTGGCCCAGGCACCAGATCACTGGAACTGGAAGGTACAGAGCAGCCCATCTCAGGGGCTCCGCCCTCAGTCTCAAGACTTTCCACAGGGACAGAACTGAGCTTTTGTCTCCTCAGCCCAGAGTCTGGGCTTCCTGAAATTCCACAAGAAACACAAAGTGTGGTGCAGATTTGGGTTTCTAAAAGCCTTCTCTAGGGGTGGGGGCTAGGAAACAGGCCAGGTCTCATAGAAAAGCAAGTTTGACCTCAGTGCCTTTTGGGGGTCTCCCTCCTGACCCCAAGGCTCTCTCTGGTCTTTGGAGGTGGGAGGGGAGGGTATCTTATCTTCCCCACAGGAGTAGGGTCCTGGTCAGGGATAGAGGGAATGTCCCAGTGGAGAGACTGATATTGAGATCCAAACTGAGCCTGAGGCCATGTTTTGGGGTGAAAGTTCCAGATGGATTTATCACACCTCCCTAAGGGTGGGCAGTTATAAACCCTGGCTCAGGGCTTCTACACACTTCAGTAACCAGCCGTACCAGGTCTGCACACAGGCTGAAAATAAGCAATGACAGTGGGAAGCCATGAGGGATTCACACAGCTCTAGGCCTCCAAGGTGTCAGGCAACACGGCCCCCTCCCCAGCACCGGGGAGCCAGGGATCGCGCAACATGAGGGCTTAAAAGGCTTCAGCCACCTCCCAAAGCACCCCAAATATATAATCTAAATAGCAGCCCTAAAGTGAGATAACCACCCCCCTCCCCCAGTACTGCAGTCCCCAAGCCCCACTTAAGACAGAAATTCTGGAACTTGCAGCATTTTGTAACCCGGAGCGGCACAACCCAGAGCCGGGTTTCCCAACCTGTAGAGGCCGCACCCGTGTCTTTAGGGCGGGTAATGACCGTAAACCCCGGCAAGCCCCTGATTGCTCGGAATTAACGAGTGTGACTGTGCCTGGAGAAAGGACCCATGTCTCAGGGTCCCTCCCCACCGGGCACTGGAATCCAGCCAAGCCGCTGCGTTCCGGGAACCCCAAGGCTTGCGTTCGGGACCCGAGCCCGCGGCGGAGGGGAGGGGAGCGGAGGCCCTGCCTAGGGAGGAGGCGGGGAGAAAAGGGGTAAACACGGGCAAAGGCGCAGTGGGAGGGGCGCCGGAAGCGGGAGCGCGGGGGGCTCCGGGGAGGGGTCTCAGGAGCGTCCCGCGGCCCCTGCCCTGCGCCCACCTCGAGACGCCCTCCGCAGCGCCGGGCGCCCCAGCACCCACCTCCCTCGCTGCCCCCTCACCTGAAACCACCAGCGCCTCGTTAGGCCCCACCGTGTGGCAGTTGCCCATGGCGCGGGCGGGTCGGAGGGCCCTCGGGGCCGCACAGACCCGGACGGCAGCAGCGGGTCCGCAGCGCCGGCCA